GGGGCCTACTCCTGGGTCCACCCTTCTTCAGGCTCTGTTGCACGCGCAGGCCCGCCTCGGGCCTCCACCCGCGCGCTTGCCCTACTCCAGGCTTTTAATCACGCTTCTCGCGCCCTCGCCCTTCTCTGAGGTCTATGTCCATGCTTCTCGCACCCTAGCCCTTCTCTGGGGCTTGTCCCGCGCTTCTCGCGCCCTCGTTGTACAAGCCCAATCTTGCCCCTTCCGGGGTTCAGCTAGAGTATTCGCCCTCTTCAGGCTCTCACCCGCATGCTCCGGCCCTGCCTCGGACCTCTAACCGCGTGCCTGCCCTACTCCGGCCTCATACACTCGCCCACACTCGGGCCTATACACGCACTTTCTGCGCTATCACCCTCTCTGGGTTCTGTACCCTGCTCAACCGCACTCGGGGCTCAGGTGGCCCATAGTTGTGCCTGGCCCCCTGACCCTTCTCGGGGTCCTTTGCCCTACTGGGCTGAATACCGCCCTCACGGGCTGGGGTCTTAACCCCCACACACTGCACCACACCGGCGCCAAACAGCTGTGCCTCCCAGGCGCTGCTCTGTGCCTGTACAGGGCACTCAGGAACCTCCGGACTACTGGGGAGCTCCCGTGAGGACACCGCGTCCCACCGGCACCAACCAGCTGTTCCTCCCCAGCACTGCTCTGTGCCAGAACAGAGCACCCAGGAAACCCCCCCAGACTACTGGGGATCTCCTGTGAGGCCTCCTCACACCCCTACAGCCTCACCCGGTCCTCTGGTGATTTACGCTATGAACTAAACAAAAGACTCCCCCTCCGGGGCTCCAATGACTGCTCGAAACAACAACACGCAAAGCCTCTCGGCTCTAACCTAACCTCAAGCCAACCCGGCTATAACCCAAAATGAGCCTACCGGCTATAACTCCACGCCGCGTGCTCTCCTTCAGGCCTCCCTGTCAGAGGCCTCTCCTTCCCAGGCCATTCTGCAGGCACTCACGCGGTCACGCAATGCTCAGCTCTATAGCAGAGCTGTTGCTTCTCAGGCTGCTAGATGGTAACTACCCTGCTCTGTCCCTCTGCAGAGCTCCTGCTTCTCAGGCTGCAAGATGGTAACTACTATCCAGGCTTTGGCCTGGGCTGTTTATAAAGGCCCGGCCCTGCCCCTGGCGGTCAGCTGACCCACTCAGCTGCCTTAGCAACTCTCATCTGCTGCCCCAGTGATTGGCAGCTTGGCCCATATTACCACCGCCAGTAGCAGGCACCCTAGTGCCCTGCTACAGTGTTCATTTCCTATTACTTGTTAAATAAGCCAAGTCACTAGTTAGGCATTATGGCTAGTTAGGAGTTACTGGATATCTTTGGAGCAGCCTGCACAGCCTAAAAATAGGCAAAAGTGTCACAAATCAACTTTCAGATCTCAATCTGTGTTGCTGGCTAAGAAAGCTCAGAAAGTAATTCCTGCTTCTTAATGCCATAGATAAAGAGAAAACAAATGGATACATGAGCAGCAATCATCTTAACCCAAATTCGTCCAGGGCTTCGACCTCACAAGGCCCCACTTAATGAAAGACTCTACAATGGCCTTAAAAGAAGGGCAAGATTTGGTTCCATGTGTCGCAGGACACTAGGGTGCCCTGCTCCTTTAAACAGCTGAAACTGCTAGGGGAAGAGCCCTAGCAGTGAGTTGGGATCCCCAGCTGCTGGCTACCAGGGCAGCCAAAATGAGCTAGTGGCCCACACCTGCCAGTGGTCAGCTGACTGGAAGGGGCAGGGCCTGGCTGAGGCCAGGAAGACAGTTCCCTGCCAGCAGCCAAGGGCGAAGGAGCTCTCCTAGAGCAAGCAAAGGGGAGAGGCCTGACTGCATGAGCATCTCCTGATACTGTTGAGGGATGGAGCACCCCCAGTGTGGCTTGAATGATGTTATAGCCCAGGGGCTTGTGTTTTGTTTGCTGTTGTATAAGACTGGTGGTTTGGGTGAGGCTATTTGGGGAAGGAGGAGGCCTCACTGGGGGCCCAAGGTAGCGTGAGGACCCCGGCACCAGAGAGGCATGGCATTTGGGGTGCACAGATCCCGGAGCCAGTGAGGTGCAGAGCGAGACAAGGCTGCGGAGAGCCCAGGGAGGAAAAGGGGGCCAAATTACAACAAGGCCTAAACTGGACAACTTTGGTACCATCTGCGAGGCTTGGGGCGTGGTAAAGGGGTGGTTGGAGCCACTCATAGCCCATAAGTCTAGGGTGCCCCGAAACACCCATTGTGACATCTATTTTGAAGCGGGATATACCAGAGGTCCGGAAACCTACGGGGGTCCAGAGTATCAATCAAGACCATGTCCAAGAGGACTTAAAGGCAGCCTCCCTATTAATCATTCTATCAAAGATGTGGCAGGCAAGAATAGAGGGTGCCCACTGGGCCAACTTGGCATGGTAAAGGGGCCTTGGGGAGATCACGGCCATCCTTCAGGACCCCATCCCATGACACCATGTCCTAGAACTAACTAAAAAAGTATGCAAGAAGATAGTAAAACTGTCAGTTATTATAGTAGTTACAATGGACCCAAAATGTTTGACACTCTCTTTACATTTATTGTAGGGTTTCCAATAAAATTTTATTTAATGAAAAAGTCCCCCTCATAAATTATTATTAAGCTTTGGGAATAACAAGAGTTTCCTTCTGGGAAGGCATTAATGAAGACACAGATTCTTGATGTTGAGGAAGAAAGTTTGAATTGGATGCTAACAATGAGTTGCTAAGGGAAAGGTTAATGCAAGCTTAGAGTGTTCAAGGCAGATATAGAGACAAGGAATTACTGATACCACTGTACAAGGAATTGATAAAATTGTGTTTAGAACACTGTGTATTTCTGGTCACAGATGTTCAAAAAACATGAACTTAAACTGAAACAGATACAATGAAGGACCAGTAAAATGGCTGAAGGAATGGAGACCTTGCTAGAGATGCACCGATACATTGGTCCCATATTGGCAATTGTCTTTTTTTTGGCTAATGTGGCTGATTAAATGCCCCGTGGATGTGTGCAGCCACAGTGCAACATGCAGGCAGCCAGGTCTGGCTAGTAAATCTGTTGTGAGGAAAGGCCCCAACAGTGAGGGAGGGAGTGGAGCTGGGGCTGGGACAGAGGCAGGTGCTGCATAGCTGGGGTGGGGCGTGGAATGGAGCCATGAGCAGCTCATCCAGGGAGCACAGGGAGGTCAGCTCCTGCTGCTGTACACACCTCGGGAGGACATGAGGGGTATGTGCCTCTGTATCTGTGTGGGGCAAGGGTGGGCTGCTGCTGGGCCTGGGGGGTGCACTGGACTCTTCCTAGTGGTGGGCTGGGCCAGTCTGTGCTTAGGGCGAGCAACAGTGGTGCTGGGAAGGGGGCACTGGGGAAGCACTGGTGAATTTTGGGGTGGCTGCAGCCCCACCTGTAATCCCCTCCCAGTGCTACCACTGCCTGCCCCCATCATAGCTCCAGCCCAACCCCTCCCCACTGGGAAGAGCTTGGCACCACCCCCAGCCCCAGCCTGCAGCAGGAGCCTACCCTCACCCTGCATGCACATGCGGGACACGCACCCTGCCATGCCCTCCTGGGGTGCACGCAACAGCGGGAGCCGCACCCCTCTCCCCAGCTCCATCTCACACCCCACCCAAGCAGTGCAGCACCTGCCCCTACCCTTGCCCCAGCCCCACTTCCTCCCTCACTGGATCTACCCTTGCCCCTTCCCCCGGACACTGCACTCCACGCTGCTCAGCTGCATATTGGAATTGGATTGGTATCAGCTGATATGACTTGCTAAAAATTGGCCATCGGTATCAGCGCAAAAAAATCTCTATCGGTGCACCCCTAGATCTTGCTTTATGACAGAAGATTTAAAGGAGCTTATCTTAGCAAAACAAAGATTAAGAGAAGAGAAAGAGAAGTTTTGGAATGGTATCTGAACCAGAGCCAAACCTGCATCAACTTTTAAACTATAAGGCCGTGTCCACAAATGGTGTGGACATTTGGTTCCCATGGGACAACTAGCAGCAGCGAACTTTGTGCCACCTCCAGTTGTCCTTGGGGAACACCCGTGGTTCTGACTAGGCTGGCTCCACTTTTGAGCAGTGCATGCTACCCATGCATGCTCTGCTTCACTTTTTTCCACAGTGGTTTTTTGACCCCTGGATATCTGAATCTGAATGTGTGGCATGTGGCACCACAGATGTGTTTGTGGCACCACATACCACACAGCCACACTTGTCTGGATTGGCCTAATAGTCTTAAGCCTTGAAAAGATATTTTGGGTCATCTTGAGAGAGATTTTAAATATAATATTCCTCACTTACTAAGTTCTGCACATTTGACCTTATGATATTAAAAAGAGCTTTAGAATTAAGGGATAAGAAGACAAGGAAAGAGAAAAGGAAGTTTTTAAAACTGTCCAAACTGTTTGTTAGGTTTGTTTAACAGGGAGGCTGGGAAAAGTGGCTTGACCTGGAAATGCATAATGTGTCAACAGGAGTTTGGTATGGGTTGGATAATTTTGTTTGGATTACAACTCTTGACTCATGAAAAAAAATATTATAGGTGTCCTGGCTTTGATCTTCCTTGAGTAAGTTACACTTTCCGAATCCTGAGAGACTGCATGCTGTTTTCACCTCTTTTTGAAAGGCAGTAGTCACCTGAAGGGAGCTGTTATGAAACTATTTTAGTACATGGGCAGTTTAGGTTTTGTTTGAACATGTAGAATTTGGTGACCGTATTCAAATCCAGCCACCAGTGCACAAGTGCAACTTTGGAAAAAAGGTCACTAGGAATTTTACATTAAAAGTCAATGAGAGGACCGGGGAAAAAGTTAGAACTTTTAAATCTTCAGGCAGTAAAAGTGGTTTTATTAATGTGTCCAATATTCTATTTTAAAATTAGTATGTAAAGAGGTGCATTCACAAAAACAAAAAATTAAACAGCTATATTTAGAGCATAGATAGGGAATCAGCTTGAGGTTAAATAAAGTTTTCTGCTATTTTGTTTTGTTTTTAGTTTACCCAAGAGATGTTCCTTCTTGGAAAGGGATATAGGACAGCGATACATAGCTATTTTTCAATCCCTTCGTTTACATGGAATCACTTCAAGTAAGTTAAAGGTGTGTTTTGTGTCTGAAGAAACCCTGTCTAACGTTTTTTCAAACATGCATTTGAAATCACGCTAACAATTCTGTATGTATAAAAGCCCTATATTGGTCAACTCTGCATCTACCTGGTTTATAGATGCATATATTTCTCTTGCTTACACAGAAAATGTATAGGAATACTTTAAAGTGTATTTTTGACAGTCTGGCGCACTTGTCAGAGTTAGAATCAGTATCTATCACTAGTTAATTTTTTATATACTTGAAATGTGCAATCCCATCAGTATTCTTCCTGTAAAACCAGCTATAGATCCAACAATGCAAAATAGAACCACATTCTACTTCAGTTCATGAATACTTCCAAAACAGGTGTAGCTATGACCTGCTATTAAAACCAGTAATAATATGTCCTTATTTCAGAGCTTTCACATGCATGTGCACATAGCACCCTAGGAGGAATAATTGTACCGAAATAGGAACAATAACTGCACATTTGGATGACAACGAGAGTTACTAACATGCCAGAGACAGAATGCAAAACGATGTGTACATCTTGCCCCTGACCCCTCTGACTATTCCTAGATACCCTGCCATAGATACTCCTTACACAGCATCCTTCCATGGATATTTTCAGAATCCTGAGCAAAACCCATGACAATGTCACAACTTCCATACTTGAATGAAGTGTAATGCTGAATCCAAGACATGATTTAAAAAGAATCTCTTACTCTTAGAGATGATGAAAGACGGCTTCCATCTTGGAAGCCGTCTTTCATCAAAGGCAGACATTGACATGGAAATACAACACTGCTTGAAATGTGTGAGCTCAGCCTTCGGATGCCTGAGTAAGAGTCGTCTTAAATCATGACATCCTTGCTGAAACGAAGCTCTTGGTTTATCGAGACATTGTCATTCCAACTCTGCTGTATGGCTTTGAAATTTGAACCACATACAGAAGGCATCTAAAGAGCTTGGAAAAGTACCACCAACAGTGCCTTTGCAAGATCCTGTGGATTAGCTGGGAGGAGAGATACACGAACATCAGCGTCTTGGCCAAAGCAAATTCCAACAGCATTGAGGCCATGATCATCCAAAACCAACTTCACTAGACAGGTCATGTCGTTCACATGCCTGAATCCCGTCTTTCAAAGATAATCTTTTTCTCACCGCTGAAAGAAGGTTGGCGAAGTAGTGGAGGGCAAAGAAAGCACTGCAAAGACACCCTGAAAGCAAACATTAAGAGGTGTAACATCAGCATCAACATTTGGGAGACCCTTGCTCAGGACCAACCAAAATGGAGGAAGGCTCTTTGGGAGGGACCTTAATACTTTGAAACAGCTCATTGACAGGCAGAAGAGGAAAAGAGGAACAGACAAAAAGAACATCCAACGCAGCAACACAGTACCCATCCCTCCTGGAAACACCTGTCCTTACTGCAACAAGACATGTGGATCTAGAATTGGGCTATGGAGCCACCTGTGGACTCACTATTAAGATCCTTAGAAGACTATCTTACTTGTTCGTGAGTGATCACCCATCATCAATGCTGAATCAGCACACCTTCTGGCTTTATGGCTACCTCCATAAAATATGAAAGCCTTCTAGTTATAGCTCAGATAAGTTATTCCTTCAGCTGAATTATAGAATCATAGAAAATTAGGGTTGGAAGGGACCTCAGGAGGTCATCTAGTCCAACCCCCTGCTCAAAGCAGGACCATCCCCAACTAGATCAGTCCAGCCAAAGCTTTCCCTAGCCGGGTTTTGAAAACCTTCAAGGACAAAGATTCCACCACCTCTCTGGGTAACCTGCTCCAGTGTTTTACTACCCTCCTAGTGAGAAAACGCTTCCTAATATCTAACCTAAACTTTCCTTGCTGCAACTTGAGACCATTGCTTCTTATGTCATCTGCAACCACTGAGAACAATCTACCTCCATCCTCTTTCAAACTCCACTTCAGGTAGCTGAATGAAGGCTGATATTAAATCCTCTCTCAGTCTTCCCTTCTCTGGACTAAATAAGCTCAGTTCCCTAAGCCTCTTCTCATAAGTCATGTTCCCCATCCCATTCACCATTTGTGTTGCCCTCTGCTGGACCCTCTCCAGTTTGTCCACATCCTTTCTGTAGTGGGGAACCCAAAACTGAGCACAGTACTCCAAATGTAGCCTCACCAATGCTGAATAGAGGGGAATAATCACTTCCCTTAACCTGCTGGCAACACACCTACCAATATATCCCAGTATGCTGTTGGCTTTCTTGGCAACAAGGGCACAATGTTGATTCATATTCAACTTACTGTTTACTGTAACCCCCAGGTCCTTTTCTGCAGAGCTGCTGCTTAGCCAGTCAGTCCCCAGCCTGCACTGGTACATGGGATTCTTCTGTCCTAAGTGCGGAGCTTTGAACTAGTCCTTGTTGAATCTCATGAGATTCATTTTGGCCCAATCCTTCAATTTATCCAAGTCATTCTGAATCCTAGCCCTACCCTCCTAGCTCTACTACTCCCCACAGCTTGGTGTCATCTGCCCCTGAACTGACAGGGGTTTGTGATTTTTTTGGTGTGAGAAATTCCAGGCTTGGGTTTCACACATGGCAGAATGTTTGAGGTATTGATGCATTGCAGTGTCTTTTTTTTTTTGTCTAAACATGCGTATTGTCATTAATATACCTGTTTTAATTCCTTTTACTATTACAACTTTATTAATTGAACATCCTCTCTCCTTGTATCTACATCCACTAAGGTAAGCATCTAAAGGATTTACAGAAGATTAACTTCTTCCCAGTGCCATGGCTGACACAGATCCTGTCCAACCATTACCATGCAGTAAGTTGGTATACTTTTACACACTTCAAAAATGGGAAATATTTAGTATATACCTAGCTGTTGTAGTTCAGATTATTTTATTTTTACTTGTATTTTGTTTTGAGGTAGCTTTTCAGGGGTCCAATCAGGATTTGGGCCTCACTGGGCATGTCTATACAAGATGCTACTGCACAGTTGTTACTACTGTTAGGCTACTGTGCAGTAGCATCACCTAAAAGATGTTTGCCAGCATTACTGTGCAGTAACTCCAGTACAAGTACTAAATAAGTGTTCAGTAACTGGAGTTACTGCGCAGCAATGCCGGCAAATGTCTTTTAGGTGATGCTACTGCACAGTAGCCTAATAATACTGTGCAGTAGCATATTAGCACTGCCCATGCTGTGATGTGCTACTGCACAGTATTTTTTCAGCTACTGCATAGTCATCTCATGTAGATGCACGCACTGTGTACAGAAACTTGTACAAACAAGGAGTAGGTGAATACCTCTGCCTTGAAAAAGCTTATAGTCTCATTTCTTTGAATTTCTCCTACTTGAAATTGCTTTGTCAAACTTTGCATTTGAGCTGAAGGTATGATAGAGGAGAGTATGGTGTGTTGATGTAAAGGGAAAGAGAAATGAGAAAAATAATTTGGATTATATAGATGAGTGCTACATGTCACTGACTGTCCAGCCACGACTTCTTCTGTAAGTTTATGAAGAACGGTGATTTGCCCTTCCATATATAAACAACCAACTATTCTTTTGGAGAGATACTATTACCTTTAACAATTTAATGGATACTTCTATTGTTTTGCTATTAGTATGCTTTTCATAGGTGGAGTCAAATCCAGATTTTGTGTAGGCAGATACAGCTCCCATTAAAGTCAAGAACGCTTCCAAAATGGGGAAGGAAAAAAGAGGAACAGCATTTAACTTGAACCATTACAAAGGATGCACTTCCATTGCATGTTGATCCCCTGCCACATCTCCCTCAAGAGCTTTGTTGCAGTTGCAGTCACATAGCACTGTGGATCTCGGACAGTTTCTGATGAGGATATATCATGTATGGAACTCGGTGCTGCTGTGAAAAAAAACCCAGTGAAGTTATCATGAAATAGAAATGTGAATCAAGACTCTCTTACCCCAGCTTTTTACAACATAAATGCTCAATGTTTTGGAAAAACTATCCTTCTACCTGCAAAAGTCCTTATTCTCCATTGCCTTACACCTTCTGTGGCATGATCTACCAATACAAAGTGTGTAATGCTGCCATTATGACTAGATGTAATTTTCCAACCCACTCACAGTTGCTTTGCAGAGGTGTAAAATACCACACAAAGTGCAAAGCTATAAGAGAATTGGGCCTCCTGTCATTAATTGCTTTACTGATTCATAGTATAGGGAAAGATTCTAACTGGCTGCGTCTACATATTCATTAATGCACCGTAATTACTGCTCATTAAGTTAGTTCTAAACTCATGCTACTAACAGTAGCACCCGTACATGGGTTTTTAGTGACTCTTATTGCACAATTATTAGGCTACTGAACAGTTAGTGTCTCATGTAGACATGCCCACCAAGTGCTAAATCTGTTGCTAATTAGATTGCCTCGCTGTGAAAACAGCAGAAAAGATGCACCTAGCTTTATATTTATTTTAAAGAATGTTTTAATCCATAGACTTCATAAGTATTGGCATACTTTATTTTCCTTTCAGCTGGAAAGTGGTGGTGACATGCCATTCCAGAAAGATTTTTCCACACAAGCTGTGAGATTTGGTCTGGTACTTAAACAGGTATGTAAACAAATAAATAATTAAATATCTAGATTTTATTCTGTTTCTCTGTGGATACCAGTATGTTATGTGTGTAATGTGCATATTCCTGGAAAATTGTGAATTACATACTTTTTACGGTACAAAATGACAGCTGCTTGCTAGGATCTCAGATCTGTAGCTCCTAATGTCAAAAAAAATGAAGTATGACTAGCTACATTCATTAGGACAATTAAAAGCATTTTCTAAGTATGAGACAGAGTAGACCTGCTAGAATAAGTATCCTAATTCAAAATCTCACTTTTCAGTACATTGATGGACCCTGAAGAGTAGAGGGTAATTTGGTAGTGGCAAAGTATAGATAGGGTTATGTGAGAGCAGTAAATAGTAATGGGAACTGTTTTATTTACAAGTCATTAGCCCAAATCCAGTCTGGATTGGCAGTGACCAAAAATGAATGTTCAGAAGTGTATGGGTGTGACCGTGCCCATTGCAACCAACATGAGCTGAACTTTCCAGTTGACTTCAACAGACACTGAATCAAGCTTTGTATGAATTGACAGTATCTACATAATATGCTGGGTGATTGATTATCTCTCTAATGTATGACAGTTTGAGTCCAGTTCCAAGTAGTCCAGATGTCTACAAGACAGAATTCACTGTCACTATTGACTATGAATTAACTTAAATACTGAAGGTTTAAGATTTAAAAGGCCTTGTGTTGGCCTTTTGCAGATGGAGGGGTACTTTTAACACTGGATTCATTGCTTTTAGTCTGTCACAATTCAAGGCCTTCTGACCACCCCATGCTAATCTCCTGATACTTCTCCATCCTAATTGCTAAATATAGCTGAAACGCTTTTGAATTTAGTAAGATTGCAGAAGCAGAGAACAACTGGTCACAAACCACGAGCTTCAAGAGAGAATCCCACATACCTAAGATTTCCTCCAGACTTTAGGAAACGCTCTCTTACGATACCTGGGGACCTTGCACAGTATGGTTTCAGCTTAACTATGTTACATGTCCTTATTTGTTATAATGTGAATGGTTTAATAAATTCCTTTTATACTTTTCTATTACTTTAAAGATAATTTGGGAGGATCTATTGTTTTCTTCTATGTGACAATCATAACGAATGATAGCTTTCCTATTATTGGCTTCTTTGTGATATTTGTCCACATAATTTTGAGATTACTCTGGATAGCGTTTTTTTCTATTTTAATTGCCCTTTAGGAGCCAAGATATCATGAGGAAATAATTTCCATGTATGGATTCTTCTTTGAGATGAAAGCAATCAGACATGAAGCTTCAATGTACAGTTTTTACATTAAAGTAAGACACAAACATCATTTGCATTATGTAAATTCTGTTTTATGAAATGACCTTGCCTTATAATAATTTGAGGTTGAGGGAATAATTTGAGGTTAAGAATAAAGGTAGACAGTTGTACTGTGGGGTTATGTGAGGGTATGGTACAGTACAAATGTCTTCATGTGTTCCCTTCCTTCTGGCTGCAAAATGATTCTTCACGTGTGCAAAACATACCATGATTTTAGTTACAGAACTGGCAGTACTAAAATACCAGGAGGAAGGGTGTTTTCTCGGTAATTTAAACAGCTGGTAATCAGGAAATACTGGAAAATCTATAAACAGACTATCTGTTTATGATTTGCTTGGCCAGTTTTGAGAATAATAGGTTTCTGAGTGTCTAAATATCAGTAGATAGGCACCAAGTGACTCCTTTTCGTGAAAATGTATCTTCTTGCATATTCTTTGTACTGGATCAGCAATAGGGCAAAGAAGAACTGGCATGTTCCAGTACTTGATATAGCTTCTACTTCTTTTTCCTGTAGCAGGTAAATGTTCAGAAACGTTCTTTTAAAAGCTCCCTAGCATCAGTAATAAAATGATATTGTGGTAGATATAGTTACCACTTCAACTGTTCTTCTTCCTGTAAAGAGTCTGGTTCTAATAAACTGTCAAAAAAGTAACTTTTCTTTGTGGGCTATAACATGGCGCTCACTTCTATTTCTGAATCCGGTGACTTGTTATTAGCTTCCATTTGGTTTAAATGGCTTCATTTGTTTAGCTAACTTGACCACTTTAAGGTGTTACTAAGTTTGGTGATGGCTGTAAATACAGTGGTCACAGTACATGTGGCCTAATCCTGCAAGTCTACAGCATAATGAGCTTTCCATTGCTTCTAATACTTACAGACAGTAATCCTGCAGTCAAAATTCCCAGCAATCATCAGGGCTAGGGACAGAAGTTACACATAAACAGTTTAAATGATCAGAAACCAGTTCAAATCTGTAACACGGCAAAAGTTCAGTGCACTTAAACCACTTTCAAAATGGCTGAAACTGGTTTAAGATAAACCTGGTTGGATGTGGTATCAGACTGGACTGATTTATGTCAAATTAGTTTATGGAACTTCTGTCCCAGAACCCTTCTTGATTCAAGTTAGCTCAGTCCTCCAGCATCCCAGGATGCTTTGCAGCCTTGGGCTGTGCTGTGTGCTCCAGTGGAACAGAGTTAGCCTGACCCCTCTGCTCCCTAGCTGGAGCACTACCACTGCTCCAGGTGACTAAGAAGGGGGTGGGGGAGAAACCCGAGTCCGGACCCCAGCTAGGGTCTGCCTGGTGAGGGAGAAGCATCCCCTCACAGGCTTTTTCTATGCTAAAACAGAGAGTGGGGGGAATGGCCAAGCCCTGGCCCAAGCCAGCACGCTGAGGCAGAGGGGGAGGGGGGGTTTAAACCCCCCTCACTGGCCTGCATGGGACCCCAGCTGGGGTCTGCCTGGTGGGGGTGAAGCAACCCTTGCCAGGCTTATCCCTCCTCCCTGCTCAAGTAGAGAGTGGCAGGGAAAGGGGCATGGCATGATGAGGTGGAAGGGAGGAGGGGTGTTTAAACTCCCCCTTCCCCCTGCAGACCCCAACTGGGGTCCCATGCGGGCCAGGGAGGGGGTTTAAACCCACTCCCTTCCCCATCTGCCTTGCCATGCCAGCCCGAGCCGGGCCTGGCCAACCTCTTGCTCTCTGCTTGAGCGGGGAAAAGCTTGACAGGGGCTGCTTTGCCCCTGCCAGGCAGACCCTGATGGGGGCCAGTGTGGGTCAGGGTGGTGATTTAAAACCCCCCATATCATACTTGGAGGGCCAGCTGGGGCCTGGCTGCACCCCTCCTCTGCTTGAGTGGGGTAAGGAGGAAAAGCCTCAGCGGGCTTCTCTCCCTGCTTCCCTCCCTTCCCTTCAGCAGTAGCCAGCAGGCAAGGAGGCATGCTCTAGCACCCTCCAGCTTCTGGCCTGAGCCATTGCAGGCATGTGGCTGCATTTCTGGAATTAAAAGTGAATGTCTGTTCACTTGCTTCTTAGTTCGGTTTAGACTAACCAGCAAAGATTGAATTGATTCAGCCTTGGGCTTTTTGACTGTCTGTACTTAGCCTGGGAGTTTCACACTTTCAGAGTCTAGCCCAAGATTAGCAATTAAGGAGGTATGCTGAAAAATGTTTGTGTGCCACCAAAGTAACATGAAAGGTCAAAGTTACTGTACAGAATCTAGACCAAATTTATTTTCTTTTGTTATATGGACATTTAATTACTTACATTTCTACAACCAGATTTATCCCTGATATATAAAAAGCTGGGACACAACCAACATCAGTTAAGTCCCACACACTTATGTAACTCTGAATCTTGAATCCAGTATCTTTCATTCAGAATGCTTACCAAGTGCTCTAGAAATTTTTAACTAATCCTGCATCCCCTTACTCAGATCAGCCTCCCAGTGATTTTTAAACTAGGATTCAGACATTTTATACAGAAGGCCTGCAAATATATAGGGCCTCTATATACACTTATCATTGAAACATGCTTAACTGCTTAATAGCTCACAACAGTCCTAGAGGATGCCAAAACTCAGGATAAGATCGCTTGAGAACTGCTTCCATTTGAAATTACAAGAGTTTTTAGGCAGGCAAAATGCAATTACCCAATATTTGGCATAAGAAAGTGCCACTTTTGGCAAGAGCTATAAGAATGTTAATGATCATTCAGGGCATTTACCTTGATTTTACAATCATTCAACAGCATAGTAGGCCTGTGCAAAATGGCTAGTATTTGGTTTGGATTCAGATTCAGCCAGTTCGAATCACTGTCCTGATTCGATCTGGCCAAATCTGATTCGGAGATTCGGCGGCTGCTGAATCTCTGAATCGGCCAGGCCCATCCCCCCGCCTGCTCTCCCAGCCCGCCAATGGCTGCCCCAGCTGCCCCAGCTCCCAGGTCTTTTTTGTTAAAAAAAAAAAGAAAAAAAAAAGCCCCAACTCAGAGTGGTGAGTCCTGGGGCTTTTCTCGTTTTTTTTTCATAAAGGGCCAGAGTTGGCCCAAGCGGGGCACCTGTGGAGGGGCCAGGGGAGTGAGCGGGGTTGGAGGGCTCGTACAGAGCCCCCCATACATGGGACAGTGGAGGGCAGCAGGGATTGTCCCCCAGCCTGGCAACACCCCAGTTTCCAGTA